AAAACACACAATTTGTAGTCACAGTCAGTCCGTATGGCATCACATAAATTCCTGCTTTCAGAATAAAACCCGCCTGATTCCAGGTTAAAACTCTGAGACAGATTCTGAACAAGGCCTCACACCTACAATTCTGTGCCTGACCTGAGGTCCCCTTTTGTATATCCTCATCACTCTGTCTGATTGTAATGACAGCACGGCACTGACATTGACTTTATAAACACATTACACACCGTCTGACACTCTCGGTCACCTGCAGAGACATATCATCTGAGCCTCCACTCACACCAGTTGTATGATTTTTTTGATCTCTCTGCCCTTAATCTCTCCGTCTATAAACTCTGTCTCTTTGTGCCCTGCTCTCTCACTGCACCTGACAAAGGGCCTGCACTCCAAAAGCTTGTGTGATTCCAAATAAACCTGTTGGACTATAACCTGGTGTTGTGTGACTTCTGACTTTGTCCACCCCAGTCCGACATCGGCACCTCAACATCATGAGCAGGCTAGATAGAGTAGATAGGAAGAAACCTTTCCCAAGCATAAAAGCAACAAGAACAAGAAGGCATAAATTTAAAGTGATGTACAAAAGAAGCAAGGGTGATCTGAGAAACAAACATTTTCACACAGCAAGCAGTTGGGGTATGGAATGTACTGCCTGGAAGTGTGACAGAGGCAGGTTCAATTGATGACCAAGAAGGCATTGGATGATTATGCAGTAGAAATACTGTGCAAGGGTATGAGGAAAAAGCAGGAGACTGGCATTTGATAATAATGCTCATTTGAGGAGCCTTTGCAGACATGATGGGCCAAATGGCTTCCTTCTGTGCTGTATTACTTCTGTGATTCTGTGAATTAAAGCCTTCAAAAGGAAATTGAACCAATACAGAAACTAAAAGAGTAATAAGCTATTGAACAGGACTAACTGGCGGAAGAGCTGGAACAATGTAGATAGGCTAAATGGGCTCCTTTTGTGCTATAGTATTCAACTATTCCAAAATTTTCCATATAATTTTTGAGATGAATGGCTACTAGTAATCCTGGTGACTTGAATAGATCTCAAATTTAAGATGAAACAGAAAACCATGCATATTTAATTGTGAACAACAAGTCTAAATTTAAAAGTATATTCAGATCTCATGTGAGTCATTTTCCTCAGATTTTGTTTATTCATTCCATATCTGCCTTCACTGCTGTGTTTGTTATGTTTTGCAGGTTTCTCAAAAATATGCTGTATTACTGCTGGCAAAATCTCTTAGCTTTGTGCCTGAGTATATCTGGTAAACAGACAACAAATGCTTTTAATAAACAAATACTAAGAATTATCTGGGATCATTTAAACTTGACCCTATTTCAAAGGTAATTCTGGAAAAGACAGAAGAGTTGTTTACTAGTGGGGTTTACGTTCACAATCTTTGGCTTCAATTTCACAACATCATTAATTCCATGTCAATGACAGCATTCAACTCCTAGTACTCCACTCAAAAAGAAATGCAGTGCCAGATAGCCAGTCCTATTGCTATGCCTTAGGTCAGAAACAGAATGAACTAATTAGAATAGGCTATTATACTGAACTGGTAGAAATTCTAACCACAAAAAAAAACAATTTGTGTAGCTCAACTCAGCTAGACCTGTAGGACCTTCATCAATGCTCGATTTGAGCTGGTAATAATTCCTGAAACACGGTACGCTTACAATATTCATGAAGACTTGTCAAAACAATGTCTAATCTTGACAAATAAGCCAAATAAAACCATTCCATCATCAAAATTCCACTTAACTATATGTTAAACAGTAGTATATACCAATCGCACATCAGTTAAAGATCTACACATTGTTGAACAATACTATGTTAAAATTCTTGATTTTCCTCCATACTATTTATACTTGCAACAGTTTTGGTTTGGATGACGTTAAAATGCCAAACACTCTGCATCAGCCAAGCACAAACAACAAGAGTATATTTATTTACAAATAGAAAAAAGAAATTCAAAAGTTCAGCACATAAATGCAAACAAAATGGAGTGGTTATTTAAAAAAAACATTTTATTTTAAAAACCCTGGCTTTGTTTTCTTGGTATCTTTCTGTTATCATTATAGTATTGCTAAATGCTAAAAGTTAAATAACACTTCCATCTAACCAGGTACCATAATTTCAAAAGAACTAAAGTCGTATTTTAGTGCCTTGGCATTTCACTTTGATGATGAAGGCACAGAGTGAATGTGAGCATGGGATGGAATCTCATTGCTTTTGTTGCTCCCTTTCAAGTCAGATTTGCATTCTTTATAATTCCACATACCTCCAAAGATGATTAAGTCTTCTGTACAGTGTATCATTTGTGAATAATAATTCAGTCTTTAACAAATTAGAAGCGTGTACCTTTACCCAAGGATGAATGGATGAATTTAATTGCACAGACCAATATGTGGCAGAAACTGTCTACCACAAGACTCATAAATCCATATACGTGGCAGGAGATGGACTTTCCATTGATATTTCTGATAGTGTTAATCCTTCCATCTTTTTGCATCTTGCATCCACACTACACCAACATTATAGCTTTAGGCCTTAAATTCTTCTTCCGCTTCAGCATACCATTGCTGTCTGTCAGTGGCTAGGCTTCCTCAAGAGCCAAAGGCCAGCTGGACTGTGTCAAGTAAATCTTTAAATCTTGCAACATCTTTATTGTTGATCTTCTTCTTCTGCCATCCACCAATTCTCATTAAACATGTGCTTTAGAAACTGGGAGAATTAATTTTCATGCCATAATGCTGATGTAGTGAGTAGATTCTAGCATTTGATTATAACTGATCTTATCCTACTACTTAATGAAAGGTAAGGTTCAAAGCTATCTTTGATGAAGTAAAAACCATGGCAAACAACTCTCACTGTCTGCAAAAAGTACCTTAACCATACTGATCCATTTTAATATAAGTCCCGCAGAATTTAATAGCTACTTGTAAAAGTGTTATTGAATTATGTGAAAATAATACGGATAATATTATTTGTCCAAGGATAAATTGGATAAATAGTAATTGGAAAAAAAGGCAAATATTTCTACAACATAATCTATTTCCTAGATCAATATTATTTTAGACCAATAGGAAATAGGCAATAGTAGATCTGGTTTTGGGAAATGAATTGTGGAAGTTAGTTATGTAAGAATTGTGAAGGAAAATCTCCGTACCAATGAAGATAACAGATTAAGATTCGATACGGAAATTGTAACAGAGAGAAAATTGGTGAAACAGAGAAATATCCGTCTGGTCAAAGCAAAATCCAAGAAGGTAAAAAGCGAACTGACTCATAAAGAGTGCATTCTATGCACAATTATGTTATTTCCCGTACAAAAAATTTGAATTGTCCCTGTATGTCAACATTTATAGTGGTATATAGATACATAAGCACTTTTTTATGTTAGCATTTGTAAAAGAAAATTAAAGTGGAGTTATTTGTACAACATGAGGAAACTGAGAATATGGAGAAAATAGTTCAGTTGTACGAGGAACATTAATTTAGCTCCCTATGTTGGAGCTGAGTTAAGGCGTTTAGCGATAAAGTTACAGTTCCATATTTATTAGGAATATTGGACGCTTGTCAATGAGGCAAAATGGATTTTGTTTATTCTCACTCGGTAAGGGCCTAAAGGCACAAAGACTGAGAGGATATATTTGTTAAATGTTTTCAGCTTCCATTCGTAATTGCATTCAATGGTGAACCTAAAGTGCTTAGGCGGCAAGATCCACATTGTAAGACTTATTTCCAAATCCTAAGGAACCTGTCGATGATAGAACATTTTAATTTATAGAAAGTGCCATACTCATGGTTTTGATTAGTGTCTTCAATAAGTGAGTTGAGCAATTCATTCGCTGTAATTTCGGTGCTGCGCTCCTCCCTGAACGGCTTCTATGGACTTACCCTGGTTGAAACAGTGACCCCTAGCGTGCGGAAAAACCCTCGGAATCTGATTTCCAACCGAATTCCACATAAACCTCAATCTTACTGGAAAATGGTTAAATAGCTTTTCTAAAGACCCGCTGATGCCTTTAATTCATACTCCAAATGCGTTACTCTTAATAGTTTACGGCATGACATTAATTTAGCAAATATGAAAACAGGATTTTCCTGTTTGTAGGAAAACAGGATGGCAGTCCAAAGAGGAGCGATATTGTATTCGAAACGTTATCTCCGCTTTCTGTCCACGGATGCTGCCAGACCTGCTGAGTTTCTCCAGCACTTTCTGTTTTCCTTTTAGAACTTCAGCATCGGTAGTATTTTTCATTTGAAAAACAAACAGTATTGTCTGGAATTTACTTCGAAATATGTTCCTTTCGATTGAGGTCCACTGGGATGTCACAATATGCTTTGAGCAATTTGGAGTTTGTCAGGAAGCAAATTATCCAGTGCTAATGCCTTAGAGAGCGTAACAGTCTGTAATGAAACTGTCTTCTTTCCCTATCACTAAGACTTAACACACACTTAAACATAGTTTGTCCTTCATATTATTCGGAACTTACAGGATTCCCTACATAATGAGCAAACTGAACGCAGGCGAAGTGTTCCCAACCTCGATCCTCTACTTCGGTAAAAAGCGGTCGTTGAAATAATTTTGTGAACGCAAAAAATAATTGAATGACTAGACGTGCTTTGAACGAACATCTGTTCCTTGTTTTCTTTACCTCTGCAAACGGGCCGATTGACTGTGTGTAAAAGACAATCACGTTTGGCGTCTATTCCATATACAAAGCTCTTTGCGGAATAGGTGACGCGCTGAAAATACTGTATTTGTGAATAAACATCTGGATTTAAATCACAGATATGCGCAAAAACTTTTATCTACTTTAGTGAAATTTTGGATCTGGGTTTGCGATTCAAATCGTAATTTATTGTTCAAAGTGGTTGAAGAAAACAATGAAACAGTGGCTAGAGCTGGAAAAAGCCCAGTGGCTGATATGATTTATGATCCCCACACCAAGTTCTGACAGTGTATAATTTCTTCACTTACCGGAAGCCAGAATCAAGACAGATGTTGGGGTTAAGACACTCCCGCAGCCCATTCTCTTGCAAGTAACCGAACATGAAAACCCCTGAACTATCAGTTGGTGCTTTTTACTTCCATTGTGCGATTTTGGTACAGTATAAGGATCATGGCAAGAGGCAAGGAGCGAGCTGAGTGCTATTCATGTTGGCGGGGGTAGGGAAGGGGAAGAAGAGGGGGTGGATCTTGGACGGGTTTTGCTGTGGGCGGATCTGCATGCCAGCTGGTCTGAACTTGCCTTTAAACTCCAGCCGCAAGGCTCAGTGTGGGGCCGCCTAGAAGGAAGCTGTTGAAACGTCAAAAAAAGCACTGATTTTCCACAGGCAAAACCAAACGGAGCCAGATAAGCGCACTATTTTTGAACTCGAAATGCTCATTTAACTAAGCAGCCGTTTATTACAATGAAACCAAGCCCGCAAGGGACTGCGTCCTTTAGTCCCAAACACTCGTGGAGTTCCATTGAGGTAACCAGCAAAGATTTAACATCTGAACACATTCTTTAAAATAAAACGAGTTTTAGAATCATTCCGCCTCATTATAGTTCAGAGAAGAAAAACAGCAAACTACATGAAAACCAACATCTCTGTGAATAATACACTTCATTTAGTATTTACATTCTCTGTCCATATTTTTATTCGTTTAGTTCTCTTGTACTTAGTGCTATGACAAAAATGTTTAAAACTTCTGTTTATTTGTCGTTAGCTGATTGGAGATAATGCGAAGAGAACTCGGGACTGTTTTTCCTTTAATGGGAAGAAACTTCTGTCTATAACCTCTGTCTGAAAAATTAGAAATCAAATATTGAAAAGAAATATCAAAGAACTTGGACCAACTAATATTTAATCAAAGCTTTAGATCAAAATTGGAAGGTACTTTATATTCTAGAATTTGTGCCAAAAATGGCCACATTTATTCTCTGTTGAGCAGATGTACTCCATTCTAAATAGGCGATTGACGATTGTTCAACGCAATCATGGGCTGAATGATTGTATGTTTAATATTAATTTTATATTTCAATTGTTCATGTGATGCTTAAAATCAAAAATATCGCAAGAAAAGTGGGCCAGATGGGTCATGTATCCTCCTTCCTATCTCCTCAGATGATTGGCTGCTAACACCTCCTCAATTTAGCGGATCACAGATGCTGCCTGTAAATTTCCAGTATTTCTGTTTCCCAGTACGAACAAAATGTATCCATTTCATTGGTACAATGCAGCTTATTGCTGTAATTCTACAGTAAATTAGTTCCAGTTGCTTGCTTTTTTTCATCCTCCTTGATTTTCTTTGTTTCATAGCTTAAAGTACAAAGTGAAGGAGCAAACTTTCAGGCTTCACAAAAACAGAAATTGCTGGAGAAACTCAGCAGATCTGGCAGTATGTGCGGAGAGAAAGCATAGTTAACGTTTCACATGTTGAAACTGAAGAAGGATCACTGGGCTCGTTAACTTTGTTTCCCCACCACAGATGCTACCAGACCTAATGAGTTTCTCCAGCAATGCCTGTTTTTGTTTCAGATCTTCAGCATCGGCAGTTTTTTATTTAAATTTAGTTAAGCTTTGAGCCTTTTCTCTCTGCAATGGCCTTTAAATAAACCTTTAAGAACATTATCTGGTCCCTATTCCCTCCTCCTATCAAATAATGGGGAACAATTAGACTGACTCACGGGAGGTGGGCGTCAGTGTATGCCTTGTCCATTTACAATTGTTTTTGTTTTGAGAATGTGGGATTCATCCATTTTGTTGAACAAAACTTTTCCGGTTCTCTGGGTCATTGTAGAAAATAACTAAGAGTCAACTACATTGCCAAGGGCCTGCAGTCATATGTAGACCAGGCCTGGTCAGCGTGGCTGACTTCCTCTCCTGAGGGACATTAATGAACCAATCGAATTTTTAGTCAATCCAGTACTTCGATTTTGAAACAAAAACAGGAACAGATGAAGAAACTCAACAGGTTTGGTAGCATCAGTGGAGAGAAAAACAGAGTTAACTTTCGAGTCCAGTGGGCCTTGTCAGAACTGAAAATAGCTGGGCAATGGTATTTATGCTGATAACCGATGGAGATGGGGTGGGGTCAGGGGAAGGGAGCTGTGAATCCAATTAATGAACCCAGAGGAAGAGAGGGAAAAGAAGCAAAGGGGTTACTGTTTACAACTGAGAAGGGAGCTGAATGCTGAATGAGCGCTAAGGGGAAAGGTGAGTAGTTGAACATGGATTCCCTGTGCTGGGAGCAGCTTATACAGAACAGGAGCTGGGGATTTGGGAGTTGGTAACCAACACTGGAGAATGTGTTCATGCTCTGAAATTGTTAAAGTTAACGTTGAGTCCTGAGGGCTATGAGATGCTTAGGCAGAAGATAAGGTTTTACAGTCCAGGTTCATTCATTTTATCTAATTAAATTAATTTAAATCCCCCTACAATTCTGATTTAATTTATAAAGAACACTTGTCTACATGTTTCTTTCTTTTATATAGGTATGTAGTAAAGACTGGTGTTCATCAGCCTTTGTAGTTAATTTGGCGAATTTACAGTTAATTACAGACCACAGTTGAAGTATTGTGAGCAGTTTTGGTCCCCTTAAGAAAGATTATTTTTTTCATTGGAGCCAGTTCAGAGAAGGTTCACTGAGATTATCCCGGTATGGAGGGATTGTCTTATGAGCAAAGTTTAAACACTTTGGGACTCCAATAAATGGAATTTAGAAGAATGAGAGGTGATCTCACTGAACACAGAGGACTCTTAAGGGGCTTGACAGGGAAAATGCTGGGGATATTCCGATCACAGGAGAGTCTAGAACCAGAGGGTACAGTCGCAGAATTAAGGGGCACCAATTTAAATCTGAGATGAGGAGGAATTTATTTTCTCAGAGAGAGTGAGTCTTTGTAACTCCTTGCCACAGAGAGCTGTGGGGTAGAGTCCTTGCGAATATTTAAGGCTGAGATCGGTGGGGGTTACAGAGAAAGGGCAAGAAAGTGGAGGAGAGGAATGTGGGATTCAGCCATGAGCATGCTCCAATAACCGAACGGTCTACTTTTGTTACTATTTCTTATGGAATTGTTGCATACATGTTTAGGTGTTGATTAAGATGATGTTTAATCACAAAGCAGAACTATCTTCCTGTGTAATTACAATTGGCTGCTTAAAACGCTTTAAACCTTGTATGGAGCATATTCTTTACTATTTATCAATGGGTTGATAAAAAGGAGGAATTATATTTCCCTGAAGTCCTCCGTCGCCCCACCCCACGGAAATCCACAAGATCTCTTGAAGGCTAATTATTGCCATTACTAAAATTGAATAAAAGTGTTCCTGCTATCATGTTACAACATATCTTAAAATCATTAAATCAATATTGCGCACTAGAGAATCATATTGTACGATGTAGTTATAGTCCGATAGTTTATGTTTTATAGGTCTAAGTTGCTTTATGACAAAACCATCAAGTCTTCATTTAAAAGTAGTTGCTTCCCTACTATCGTTAAATAATTCGCGCAGCTTTTTTTTTGAAAATTAATGATATATAGCAGAATTTTTATAGCTTTAATTGATCTGTGCAACCTTTTACGATCCTTCTTTATAAAGTAAACTAAGAAAATCGATGCCATACAGTGAGTGAATTTACAACGCACCCTCGAACCTGGGACCGGCAGTGCGCAGTTCAGATGTCAGCGAGTCGAAACCGCAGTTTTACATTGGCTGGCTCCGGACTGGCTGAGTCTGTAACAAAGTTGCCCAAGGGAGAGTAATATGCTTGCTTGGATGTGGTCGTGGGCGAAGTCTCTCAACATTTAAAGAAAACATCGAACTTGCAATTTCACGACCTCGTGACTTCTCAAGGGCTTCACATCCAATGGAGAACTTCTAAAATGTGTTAATTGCTCCAGTGTAGGCAAATCCGGTCGGCAATTTGAGCACAGCAAGATCTCACAAACAGATTTGCGAAAAAGACCGGATAACTTGTTTTGTTCATTCACGTATAAACATGTGGAGGTGCCGGTGTTGGACGGGGGTGGACAAGGTCAAAAGTCACACCAGCTTATAGTCCAGCAGGTTGATTTGAAATCATAAGCTTTCGAGGTGCTGCTCCTTCGTTAGGTGGAGCGAAGAGGAGCACACAGGCACAGAATTTCTAGGCAGATAGATCAAAAGATAGTACAAATAGTGTGAGTGGAGTGTCCACAGGCTGAATAATAAGTCTCTTCGGATGATCATAAGTGTCAAACTGACAACATGGACCACAACACCAAACAACAGTCTGAGGTGAGCTTGCAAGATGGATAAAAAACTGGCTCGGTCATTGAAGACAGAGGGTAGCGGTAGCTTTCTTCAGGGATCAGTGTTGGGACCTTTGCTGTTTGTAATATATATATAAATGATGTGGAGGAAAATTTAACTGGTCTGATTAGTAAGTTTGCTAATGACACAAAGGTTGGTGGAATTGAGGCTAGCGATGAGGACCGTCAAAGAATACAGCAGGATATAGATCGGTTGGTGTCTTGGGGAAAGAGACGGCAAATGAAGTTTAATCCAGAAAAATGTGAGGTAATGCATTTCGGAAGATCTAATCCAGATGGAAAATATACAGCAAATGGCAGAACCCTTAAGAGTACTGATAGGCAGAGGGATCTGGGTGTACAGGTACACAGGTCACTGAAAGTGGCAACACAGGTGGAAAAAGTATTCAACAAGGCATATGGCATGCTTGCCTTCATCGGCCGGGGCATTGAATTTAAAAGTTGGCAGGTAATGTTGCAGCTTTATAGAACCTTAGTTAGGCCGCATTTGGAATATTGTGTTCAATTCTGGTCGCCACACTACCAGAAGGATGTGGTGGCTTTGGAGAGGGTACAGAAAAGATTTACCAGGAGTTTCCTGGTATGGAGGGCATTAGCTATGAGGAGAGGTTGGTGAAACTTGGGTTGTTCTCACTGGAACGACAGAGGTTGAGGGGCGACCTGATAGAGGTCCACAAGATTATGAAGGGCGTGGACAGAGTGGTCAGTCAGAAGCTTTTTCTCAGGGTGGAAGAGTCAATTACCAGGGGCCATGGGTTTAAGGTGCGAGGGGCAAGGTTTAAAGGTGATGTATGAGGCAAATTTTTTACACAAAGGGTCTTGGATGCCTGGAACTCGCTGCCAGGGGAGGTAGTGGA